AGAGCCCAGAAAACCATGAAGTTTGGGGGAGAAGCTGAACTCAGTTCAAACATAGCCCAGGAACTCAGTATCACTGGAAGGAAGATAATTACCCTGCTGCCCAGAAGCCTCAGGAGAGGAATCTTCATCTCTGATTGATCAAGCTCAGAAATGCTGTTCTCCACTAATGAATTTCAAAAGAAACTGATGTGGGAACTAAAAGCTCATTTAATCATTTGTGATTCAAATTAATTACAATGTGCCCCATGGCCCCAGAGACCTGCATGCTCTGGTGGAGCATCTCTTCCAAATAGGAAAACACGTGGGAAGCCACACTGCTATGCACAGGAGGTTTGAGCTGATGCTATCCTCACTTCCTCCATCTCTGCTGAACAGTTCTGGGGGACCCGATGGGAGTCTGACTCCCTAACTCTCATTTTTTTTTACCAGCCTTTACCAATCACCCAACTTATGCATCGCAGGATGTAAAAGGGCAGGAGGAAGGTCACTGTGACACCAGGATAAAGAAAGAGGAAAAGCCTTGGATTAGAAGAGAGCAGGGGCCAGATGATGGGGGTCCTCAGAGGCCAAGCTAAGCACTGTGGTGTTTCTTTAAGACAGGGTCTCACTGTGGAGTTCAGGCTTCCCTGGACTCATTATGTCACCCAAGCTGGCCCCCAGTTTGCAGCAATCCTCCTGCCTCACCCTCCTGAGTGCCGAGGTTATAGGTATGTGCCATCACTCCCAGCAGAAGTGTGAATTTAATTATAGTGGAAAGGTATTGGAGGGTTTGCACCAGAGAAAAAGTACACTAACATTTGTGGAAATAAGAGGAGATGATAGGCACCAGTCAAGAGACTACCACCTAGTAGGGGTGAAAGCAGAGGTAGCGGTTTAGATCAGAGTCAGAGCAAAGGCACCAAGAAGCCAGCGAATAGGGACCATCAGAAAAGACAAAACAAATATGTCAGACTCTCAAGTTTCTAAAATGTGTGGAATTGTTTCCAGTGATTTCCTATATAACAGAAAGCTTGGTGGTTTCCCTAAGCATTTGACTTTTACAAAGGTGACGGCCTCTCCAAAGATACTGGTCAGAACTATTTATATGCACACAGCAGGATAAAGTGTAGAAGCAGGAGCTGGACGCTGCAATCTGTATGTGGCTATCAGCCTCTACCACAAACACCTTAAAGGTAAAAGGAAGAAATAAGCAATTTAACTATTATGATTTGTGAGTATCTAGCGTAACTCCTTTTGTCTATTTGCTGAATTACTAACCTCTCCCCCACACCCTTGTTCCACTCATTCAGGTATCAGAAAAGGGTAGCCCTGTACATCGCCGCCTTTCACGGCTACATTGAGCTCACCGAGTGGGCCCTGAAGCAGGGCGTGCGGCCGCATGAGGCAGTGGGCGTCCACCCCTATCGGGCATGGTGCCATGAAGCCCTTCACGCAGATGTCACTAAGTGCCCCATTCATGCGGCCGCAGAAGCAGGCCAGCTGCTGATTCTGAAGGCCTTTGTCCACTGCAGCGTTCTCTGCCTGGAGTGTAAAAATGCAGCGGGACAGACTCCTCTGAAGATCGCATTCAAGTACAAGCATAAAGACTGTGTATTATATTTGCTGAGTAAAATGTGGTCCACGGTTTCTTTTCTAAAAATTTCAGTCCCAATGAGGATTTATATTAAAATAAAACAATGGCTCCTCAGAGCTCAAGGTCACAGCCTTCAGAAAGGCCAGCTTTGCAAATCACGGGTTTTGGGGGCAAAAGTTGGAGACACTGTGATGGTGGATGGCTTCACCGCACCGCAAATGACCTCCAAGAGCTGGCATAAGACTGGGAACCAGGACTCACAAAGCATGCCCAGCAAGCTTCCGCTTCTCAAGGCTCACACCGCAAGCAGGAAACCTGTTGACTCTCTGACAGTTTCACAGAGGGACACTGGCGAACAGACCCTCACATTTCCTCTGCTAGCAGAGGTACATAGGTTCTCTGACTTACAAAGACATCAACAACAATGTCAAAAAAGCATTCCTGCCACAGCTAAGAGAAAAGAAAGGCTTGTGGAAAATAAATATCTCCCCCAAATCCCTCTTCCTCCAATTTCAAGAGCAGGATATTCACATCCACCATTTTACTATGCAACACCCAGTGTCGACTTCTTGCGAAGGTCTTCCTTGGACTCTTTCTCAAAACACAGTGGGAGGACTCCAAGGGAAAATGCAGTCTACTGTTTAGCCGTGGCCAGGTACTGCTCTCTCTCCCTTTTTCTCCATCTCCCTCTCTCATTATTATTATGGTAGTGGTTGTTGTTGTTGTTTTTGAAACAGGGTCTCACTGTGTAGTTATAACTGGTCTTGGATTCACTATGTTCCCCAGGTCGGCCTCAAACTTGCAGCAAATCTCCTTCCTCAGCTTCTTGGCTACTAGGATTAGAGGTGTGTACCACCATACCAGCCAGTGTTTCTCTTTGAACACACATTGGCAAACCTCTAAAAAGACAGGTCTAAGTGAGATGACCGAGGACCTGCAGGATCCTGAACAGACCCAGAGCACAGGCCAGCGAGTGAGTGAGACGACCCAGGCCCGCGGATCTTCATTTGACCCAGGCTGCAGGCCCAGCACGGAATCCTTCAGCAGAACTCCCTGCAAAGAGGCTAGAGGCAAGACCCACCCAGCTGATTCAGGAGCAGAACATCTTACCAGAGAGACACAAAGGGTTCAACTCTAACACTTGCAGCAGAAAGAAGTAGAGCACAGCAGCCAGATCCAAACAACACCCACCTGGAGGAATCCGAACTTCCTAGATCCGGACCTGGTGCTAAGGTAATAACTCTATCTAAGCGCTACACCAAAGGTCAGAAGACAGTGGTATACAAAATGACAAAGAGAAGGAACAAAATGCAGTCTCAGGCCCCGA